GCAACTGTTTGAAAGTGTTTTCTGCCTTTGAACCTGGAAGGCATTCTCGACAGCTTGCCAGCTGTTCGGGCTAAGGATAGGGTTAAGGATATGTTTAGATATAGTGTTACGGTCAGGATATAGGTCATATTTAGGGATAGGGTTAGGGTTAGATACAGTGTTACGGTTAGAATTTGGGTTATGGTTAGGAAGAGGGTTAGGCTGAAGGTGATATATGGGTTACGGTTAGATTTAGGGTTATGGTTAGATCAGAGAAACAGTCATTCAACAAAAATATGTATTGACATGTGTATTGACAAAAAGCTTAGGGCTAGGCTTACACTTACAGTTAGTGTTAGAGTTAGGGTTTGGGTTAGTGTTTGGGATAGGGAAAGAGTTAATGTTAGTGTTCGGGATAGGGTAAGCGATAGCGTTATGGTTAAGTTCAGGGATAAGGTCAGGGATAAGTACAGGGATAGGGTTAAGTTCAGGATTAGGGTCAGGTTCAGCGTTAGGGGCAAGGTTAGGGACAGTGTTAGGTTCAGGATTAGGGTCAGGTTCAGGGTTAGGGGCAGGGTTAGGTTCAGGATCAGGATAGGCGTCAGCCGTTAGTTCAGGGTGAGGGTTAGGCTTTAGGTCCAGCCGTTGAGGGTCAAGCGTTAAGTTCAGCGCGTCCAGGGTTACGCTTCAGAGTCAGGGATACGTTCAAGCTTAGTCAGGTCAGGGTTAGGTTTCAGGGTTAGGGTTAGGTTAGAGATAAGGTTAAAGTGATTACGTCACCGTAAATAGTAAAAGTAAAAAAATTATGTCCACTTTTTCACAAAATGTAAGTGACTATGTTCACTTTCTATGTTAAATGCGCACTTATACTCCTATCTTTGCTATTCGTCGATCGTGCAACAACACTCGTGACTCAACATAGCGCCCATAGCAAGTAGTTAATGTCGTGATCAATATATCAAATCGCCCAGGTTTTTTTGGATTTTTAACTAGTTGAGATCTTATCAGGCAAGAATCTAAGAATACATTTAGTACCCGTTCAGTGAGTAGTTACTTTTCATGCTAAAAGAAATTGCCAAACAAAAAGGTTTACAAATATACACCATAGAAAATTCGCTGACGTTGAGCAAGTTAAGGTTAGCTTCAGCGTTAGAGCATAAGGTACGGTCCCACGCAAACTGAATGCAATCGCAGAATCAACACAGCCGACAGATTCGCTGCGCGCTGTGCCAGCGCACGACTAGTATTCCTCTACAAGTAGACTGCACACCGTACGTCACAAACCTGTGCGGGTCTCCAGCACGCAGCTTTTCTGGGGCCAGCCTCTATGCTTACAGGTGGGGCGGCTGCCAGAAGGCGACGCTCACCTCCGGCGGTACCCGTGTAGTGATACAGTGCTGGCGTCTCAACACTCGGCCGCGTGTTTTAGGCCTGTGCAGACCGGTCTGCCGTGATGGCGCACCCCCGCCGTGCATCCTCCTGCCTCCCCCGTCCCTCCCTTCACGCCGTCGACGCTAGCGCATACCCTGTGCACAGCCCTGTTGAAACGAATGGTTTTTGTTGCCGCTGGACTTCGGAAAAACGCCGCTGCCATAAATATCCCAACGGCACCACCACGCGATGAAGTCGACCTACACCACCACTGAGACGCCCACCATCACGGCCGTCGTCGCGCGCCGCGCCGCCGCCCACTCTTCTTTTTGTGTCAGTATAGTTATCGATGATCAAACCCCCCAGCAGGCCTCGAACCTCCGACTCCTTCATTGCCCTCTCCCTCTGCCGCGGGGGATCCCGCGGCTGTAGTCCTCTGGAAACATCTTGGATCACGGGAACCCGAAAACGTCGCTTGCGCGTGCGTACGTACGCGGCACGCGCCGCGGCGCGCGGACAGGTGCAATGTATGTTCGCCGGTCTGCCGCCGCTAGTTCACACACGACGTGTCGCAAACTACCGCGGACAGTAAATCCAGCTCGGAGTCCCCGAAACAATCTCCAGCGTCGACTTAACTTGGAAAGCGCGAGTGCGATTAATGACAGTGTAGGGATGACCTACCGGGAGAGGGGAGGGGGAAGGATGGCGTAGGCAGGGGGAGAGGAGGAGGAGCGAGGCAGGGTGAGGCAGCGGAGCGAGCGCAGGGAGGCAGGCGAGGCAGGTGAGGAGGGCAGAGCCGAGTCGCACACACCGAAGCTTGGTTTTAGCTGTAATTCTACTTCGGGAAACCCATCGCCGAGCAGCACGCAAGCTCACTACTCGCAAGCACACTGCACCATCCCACAAAACGCAAGGCACACTCCGCACGCCACAAACGCCAAGCACACTCACATGCCACAAACGCCAGCACACTCACATGCACAAACCAAGCACACTCAACACGCACAAACGCAAGCACACTCGCACGCACAAACGCAAGCACACTCGCAAGCACACTCGCACGCACTAACGTGTACGGTACGATAAACACACGCACGCGTACACATGGGGGCACACTGGCACGGCACTACCACACACAAGTATCAAGAGTCCATAATAGAAAACTTTATTTTATTTTATTTAATTTTCTATTATGGACTCTTGCAAGTATGCACCCCATACACCCACACACAGCAGCCACGCATACACGCATGTCACACGCATATGCACACAACGCTTGCACGCACACAACCATGCACGCACACACATGCACACAACGCATACACGCACATGACACATGATGATGCATCTAACACAAGAAAGCACGCATTCTATACATGGGACTCTGACCATGCATACGTGCAGTGCCACAAATAATGTGCACATAAGCCTATACCACACCCGACGTCACACGGCCACACTAGTATCACACTAGTAGTAGTGAATCACATCGGCCAGCTAGTATTTAGTTGTGCCTATTTACACAACTCTCTATTTTAGCCATGCTAGAAGTTTCATTGAGCTGATTGCGGCTAGATTACACCCTGTAACAACAATTTCCTATCGGGCTAATCACAACAAGTAAACGCATAGTGACCTAGTATTGCTTACAAAGCAAATGCGAATTATAGTTGCATCTGTGCAGCAACTGGACGAATAAACAGTCTTATAAAAGCACACACGAGTAGGCTCAAAGTTCATGCCGCATGCAAGTATCACACCACCTAGTTAAAATTACAGCTGCACGAAATCATGCCAACAACCACCACTAGAGGGCACCCGCTACAGAAATGGCTAAGCAAAATGATTTCCTATGCCCAACAAACTGGTGGGGGTGGGGTGGGATGGTGGGCTTTCATGGCAGGAAGACTGATGTTTACCAAACCCAGGAGCCACGCTGTTGTTAGCTTCTAACGTTCTCAGCGATAACAACTGACTCTACCTCACCCCCGCCCTCTTCCTGTTCTCTGTCCCTACCACTCCCGCTCGCTGTACTCTCCGCCTATCTTTTTTACACCCACTACTGTCTCTGTTCTCTGCCCACTAACTAACTTCCCCAATCTCTCCCCCATTCTCTATACCTACCTCCCCCCATTCTCTACACCTACCTCCCCCCACTCTCTTTCTCTTTCCGTGTGTTCTCTGCCTCTACCCCTGCCCGTTTCTCTCTCGCATTTTCTGCCCTACCTCTCCCCATTCTCTCCCTTTACCTGTTCTCTGCCTGTAGCTCGCTCGCTCACTCACTCACTCACTCACTCACTCACTCCTCACTCAAACTCACTCACTCACTCACCAGCTCACTCACATCACATCACCACTCACTCACTCAACGTCAACTCACGATCACTCAACTCACAGTCACTCACAATCACTCACTATCACTCCTCAGCGTCACTCACGTCACTCACCACTCACCGTCACTCACTCACTCACTCACATCACTCACCACGGTCACTCACTCACTCACGTCACTCACTCACTCAACTCACATCACTCAGCCACTCACTATCACTCACTCCACTCACTCACTCACTCACTCACTCAAACTCACCAGCTCACTCACTCACTCTCACTCACTCACCACGTCACTCCTCACTACAATCGACTCACTCACTCACGTCACTCACTCACTCACCATCACTCACATCAACTCACTCACATCACTCGACGTCTCACTCCCTCACTCCTCACTCACTCACTCACACACATCAATCACTCACTCCTCACTCACTCACTCACATCTTTCTCTCTCTCTCTATCCTCTCTCTCTCTCTCTCCTCTCTCTCGTCATGTCACATTCCTCCTCTCTCTCTCAATTTTTCCTCTCTCTCTCTCTCTCTCCTCTCTCTCTCTCCCTCTCATGCGATCTCGCTCTCTCCTCGCTCCTGTTCCCTCTAAACCTATCTCCTAAATGCCCCACCCGTTTTCGACCCTTACATCTATCCCCCCTCTCTCCCCATCTATCCCCCTTGTGCTCGATCCCTACCTCTCTCCCCTCTCTCCCCATCTATCTTACCCTTACCTCATCCCGCTCTCTCCCCATCTATCAGCCCCTGACCGATCCCTACCTCTCTCCCCTCTCTCCCCATCTATCCCTGCTAGGCTTACCCCAACCTCTCTCCCCCTCTCTCCCCATCTATCCCCTTGTGCTCGATCGCATCTATCCCTGCTTACCCCACCTCTCCCCCTCTCTCGCACCACTACCCCCTTTGTGCTCGATCCGCTAGCTCTCATCACCCCTCTCAAGTCCCCACTATCTCCTGCTTAACGCCAACCTCTCTTTCCCTCCTTCTCGCCAGATCTAATCCCCGCTGCTTCCCCAACCTCTCTTCCCCCCCTCTCTCACCCATCCTATCCGCTGCTTTACCCCAACCTACAATCTTCCCCTCTCTCCCCATCTATCCCTGCTTACCCCAACCTCTCTTCCCCTCTCTCCCCATCTATCCCTGCTTACCCCAACCTCTCTTCCCCTCTCTCCCCCGCCATTTTATCCCTGCTTACCCCAACCTCTCTTCCCCCTCTCCTCACCCATCTTATCCTGCTACCCCAACCTCTCTCCCCTCTCTCGGCTCTCACCACATATCTATCTCCCTCTGTTTCTGACCCCGTACCTTGGGATTCCATGTCACGCCTGTTGTGTAATGTTGCTTCACGTAGGCTTGCAGTTCACCGAGGGCCAGCATCCATGCTCTCGTCCATGTCACGTGCTCCGCATCCCTGCAAGCGAGTGCAACGCAAATAGGATTCGTGATGGCTTTTTCTTTCTAGGTAATAGCCTCACACAACTAGAGAAGACGAAGTCGAACATGAACCATTGTATTCGGGGAGGGGTGAGGGAACCCTGATTGCATAAAAATACATGCTTTGATTACATATTTGATACATACATTATAGATTGTGAAGAGAGCATTAGTCTTTAAAGTGTGTTACAGTGTACCCAATACGCCGGGCTGTAACATTCTAATAAATACACTGTAACACAGCAGATTATGAGCTGAGATCTATAGCGGCGTTTACACGGCATTTCATTGCTTATTAGGTTCCGTATCTCGGAAATCAGGTATTTCATCGAGATTCGGTATTTATACAAAGTAGTAACTCAAACTACCGTACTTTATCGAGCGTTTACACGAACAATAATTCCGCATTAAAACAATTCAGAGCTTAGTTGGCTGTGACAAATATCACAGAACAGCCTGTCCAAGCACTGAAATAACGTTTACGAACCAGATGAATTTCCGCATTAACAATTCGGAAGCTTAGTTGGTGTGACCAAATTTATTTCTAGGCAAACAGTGTCAAGGCACTGAATAACGTTTACACGCAGATAATTCCGTATTTTATTTTAACAATTCGGTAGCTAGCTGGCGGCGAATGAATTATTCCGTGCTTATTAAGCTGCGCGTATTGTGTTAATCCTCCGAATCTAATACACGCCACCAAATATCCGCCTAAGTCTCGAATTATTTAATCGTGTAAATGCTAAATACGAAATCTAATCCACCGTGTAAACGCCGCTTATATATATATAATAATAATAATAATATATATTATATAAGCTGCGTTCACACGTAACACGGCCCTAGGCGTTGGTACGTACTTCCTTAGTTGTGCAATTCGGGCTAAAATGCGTTCACAAGAACGAAGAATAACACGAGATTCGAGCTTAAACGCTAGCTAGGTATAATATAGATCTGTACCCGTCGACAGTTCACACGCTAACCAACTCGTGCAGCGAACGGGTAGCAGTCCTAGGTTAGACCGCTTCAGTTTCGCCAATTCGAATGCGGTCACATACGACAACAATACGCGGCCACGTGGTGCGAAATAACGCAACTTAGTAAAGGGGCAGGAGCAATCGCGGCTTAACAGCCGGGCTAAAGCAAGCCGCGTATATTTTAGAGCGGGTGAACGCTAAATACGGAACTAAAATCCTCCGTTGAACGGCGCTATAAATATATATTAATATATATATAATATATGCCTACCCAGTGCCACGGCCATTACAAGAAATTCCAAGGCCGCAGTGAATGATGCAGTTGCAAAGCATGATCAACAATCGTGTGAACCTTGCTAAGCAATGTCTCACATGTATTACAGGGGTAGTGAAATGAACTTGTGAACAAGGGAGTCTTGTCTGGGCATTCATTCTGAGTTCAAAAACTAAAGATATTAACAATACACGCATGTGCTTATTGAAAGATTTCATGCAGTTGCA